GATGATCCGTCACTAACTATGGTTTAGCTTAGCATTAGGTAGGTTCTCCATAACACAAGTTCATGTAATTACACGGAATGGTAACGTTCCGGAACGAAAAAGAAGCTACGGTACTGAGTCAACATTCACGTGTTTGCACGTGTCGTTGCGTGGCAGCTGAGTAAACCATTAGTTTATCTGGAATACGAGCAACCGTGAACAAAGTTTAATTATTGGAAGATCTTTGAATAATATCACCTTACGTCTGGGTTACTATATTTGAAGTCATTGCTCAGCAAAAGCCAACAACAATTTCACAGCCTATTTTCTCAAAAAGCGTGTTGATTTCATCTTTGAAATTCGATGGCTTAATGCGATAAAACTGTCTATTATGATACTTACTCCTGTTGGATATGATTTGCATTTTCCGCGCAGAGCAACCTCAGTTTATGGGAAGCTGTGATCTTAGTAATTAAATGTGACTTAAATTGTTCAAAGCTCGTCAAGCAGCTTAAAAACCTCATTGGAGCAAATTATCACCGGAGCTTATTTAAAATTACGTGCTGATATTCTACATCTGACTGTGCAAAAATAATATGGCTGCTAGTGTTGGTGCATAACTTGGATGCGGTGAAATTCATTGCACTGTGTACACAATTTTTGGCGTCCCAAAATGTTATTGATAACGGCAGCACGGGAATTTAGGGCTTAGTTTAACCTAATCATCACTTGACAGTCACAGGCCAAAGATTTATGCATCTTTAATTGTTGTAAGTATCCGACCGAATCTAAGTGAGAGCACTTTCGACCGCTATGCTAGAAAAGCAGTGCAAATGAACTACTTTAAACCGCGAGTAGTGTATATTTGCCACAGCAACTCATTTCTCATGCTGTATGCTCAAACATCTTTTTCGCCGAAACAGAACTTTGTGGGAACTAGGGCTACGAATGAAGGCTGCTGGCAGGTATATTGTGCACGGGCCGGTAGGACGCGAAACAACACAGTCGACTAGAGGTAATCCACTGATTCCTTCCTAGAAAGAATTTATGACTGAAGAGGAAGTGTGCGTCTTTTTGTAATAAAACTGATCGTATACCGCATAACACAGTTAGCACTCAATTGCTTTCATCGGTTTACCTAAAATGTTTGAGGAAAATCATTCTAAGCTATAAAGAAGCTTTCATCTATATTCAAAATTGTGATATTTGCAAGGGAACATCCCTTGGATGATTCATCAATTCATCATCATTAATTCATTGATAAAAATTTCATAAATACACTGCTATATATCCAGTAGTGTGCTCCCACCCGTTCTTGTGGAAGACACTGATGGGAAAGCATTATGAACGTTGTATATATTTTGCAACATTGCTTTGTATGTGCAGAACTTTAAAGATTTACCTATTGTAGACGTTTTGGAGCCCCCCTTTCACCCATCTTGGTAATCTGAGGGAAGCAGTTACCAAAAGAAATAGGTAGAGGCTCATAGACCAAAACATTACTACCTCAGCCAGCGGCATGATGAGCTTAATTTGTCAAAAAAAAAACAATTATCACCGCCAAGAGTCAGCTCTTGCTCATTCCAAACAGCTGCCCTTTCATCGTGTAAGAATATGGTGACATGGCGGTGCCACAAAGCGTTTATGATAGATTTGATGCAGGGTTTTGTAAAAAGCGCTTTCAACTTCTCAAAGAGATGTGGTTTAGACATTGAACGGGTGAGTGCGGTAAGCACCAAGCGCGATCAAACGGTGCCGAAAAACACACACCAAATGTTCCTGTTAACCACGCTTACCAAGGAGAAATATCGTGCGGCTATCATTCGCCATTTTCGTCCTCGACAGATTATCACGGATACAGAGCAAATGAATCGGATTTTTTGGAGGTACGGGTCGTCCATATGAAGTAGATGGGTCTACTAACTCCCAAAAAACAATACCATCAGCAAACTTATGCAGTCACTTATCTCCGGTGTCATCGTGTTCCCCCTGATGTTGATGATGTGCATTGATAAGAATAGTGAGGGCCATATCAACAGTGACAACTGAGGACCACTTGATTGTGTGGAGTAGTTCTCAGTACACTGCAAACCATCTCTTTCCCAAATGCATTACCAGTAAGTTGGGATCATTACTTTTTCGGACCCCCGAAAACTTTTCAACTTTTAATGGCATGAACATAGCTGACTGAGTTGTCTACCGATAGACGCAGCCATCAATGTGTTGATTGTTTAACGACATAAGTTAGCTTTTCGTGGCGCATTTTGGTGAAATTGATTCAGCTAAATTAAAAGTGAACTCGGTACACGATGGCTTTTTGTAATCTTCATCCATTGAAGTGAGACGTGCATAACTAATTCGTATAGCCTCAGCATCATTGCAGGTGGTGCATATTCTCTTCCCCCAAAAGCGAACAAAGTTGTTTGATAGATAAAGGTACGGACTGAGTTGCCCCATCAGAAAATCGAAGTGGATCGACTGATGCAGCCACTGTCCGATGATTTGTCTCCACAGATTATGAAGAATTTTGTTTTTCGGGCCTTGATACTTGTGCGGCTTATTTTGTCGCATACTTTGCAATCTCAAATTTCTATTTAAGGCAGAATAAGTACTTACATGCTACCATTGCCATTTATTTGTGATCAGCACGAAGACAGACCTAAAATTGCAAAATTACTGGAGAACACGAAAAAATGAGGGGGCTTAGCAGACGAAGAACCTAAGCCAGTTTTGACAACCAGGTGAAATCTTTTGTAATATATGCGAGAAATCATAACACGAGGACATAAATATAAGGATCAGCACACTCAAGCGAATAACAATGGGCGGTCGCATCTTATCTGATTGAAACTAACGTCTGGGGTAGCCAGTAAGCACGAACATACCGGCTGTTTCTTACTACTGCCCGGTTCTTGTATTGCAACGTCCCACAAAGTCGATTACGTTCGCAGCACCTATTTATGAAAATGGCTACAAGCAACGTCAGCAGGCCGAAAATAGTGAAGAGTGGGTAAAAGTACGGTAGTTTATAAATCGGACTGCTAATGGTACAAATATCACAGCCATTACAATTTGAAGTGATTGTTTCAGATTTAATTTATTACACAGCATAGCAGCACACAAGCAAGTATATTGGCTTCGATAGAGGCTAAACAATTGACTGACCATGATGGTCGTATTCGAGGCTCGTTCGGCTTTCAATAGTGTCCGCTGCATGCGTCAAACTCATATATAAATCTAACGAGATGCCCGTACAAATTTCTTGGGCACAAATCGTGAAATTATGTCTCATACAATGTCCAAAAATAGGAGAAATATTTTAGTTGGAGATTGGTCTGAACGGAACTATCGAAAAACTCTTTTATTGCCTTTTATTACAATTTTCCATTAAATCCAAAGCTAATTAATTTTCCTTTACAAGGGTCTAATCGCAAAACGATTAACAAACCTTACCATTCCGTTTCGAAGGAAAATACTTGGTGCTTCGGTTTGCTATATTCTTCAGCTTTCATTTTTTCGGCTCAAACCTCAGGGTGCCGCACTGACGACCAGTGTGAAATACATTTTAGGAAGCTCAGATAGGCTTACAGCGTCCGCTCTACTGTGCCGTACACTTGGACGCTGATTTTCAGAGGCAAACACTTGAAATCGTAGCTTCAAGAGCTTACCACTGGGTGCAATGGGTGTTTTGCAAGTGCACGCAACTCCGGTGGTAATGACCGACTTATGCAAAACTTTCGGTAGGTTGTGTTCGTATTTGTCGCCATTTTCAAAATCATTTGGAAGATATGGACTCGACATTTTGTTCCCTTTTAATATAATAGGCCTATTCCTAATCCGACAAGAAGACAAGTACTATTTTGTTTGACCGTTTCTCGCTGTACACTCAACATTATCCGAAGAGAGAGATTCGGCCTAAGAAAATCTCTTTGAAACTAAAGGTCATATCATTTTCAGACAAACGAAAGTCCATCGATTAGGGACGTTATAAAGCTGTTAAATATTTTGCATGCTCAAGATATCCGCAATCATTGAAGACAGTAATACAAACGGATAAGTTGCTTAACTTGCTTTATCTCCTAACAAGTAATGTACGATGAGCATCACGCAAATCCGGTTAAATTAATAGACCTAACAGCTGATTAGTCAAACGGATTTAAACAGCGAAAGCTACCAGTCAGTTAGTTTCACGTTCTACTTTCTAAATATTAGTTTTTCTGTTCCAAATAGCACCAATTTTTATCCCAATACTTTTTAAATAAGTGAATCTTGTTTGTTCAGTTAGGCCACCTTGCACTAAACGCAACTCAACTCTGACCGATGAGCTTAGCGCTCCGTTAACACTCTCCGTGTGATCCTTACCGATTTAATATCACAGTTAGTCTATATCTGTGCTTTTTTCTTCAAGAGTTTGTAATATAGTGGTGCGTGGAAATCACAGTAAAAGACGGATTGAAAGCCTTGCAATTACAATGGTTAGAAATCTTCGTGTTTCTGTCCTCTATTTTACTGCCACTGTGCGAAACAGTGTACTGACAAGTTCGAAAATGAATGAATTCTTTAACGGAATGACGAGCAAGAATAAAACATGAGGGTTCAGAATTCTGTAACTCAGCGAACATATTCTGATAAAAAGTTAAAAAAAACTACAAAGATATCAGTGCGATCTACGGAAAGTGTTTAAACCTGAGAGCCCTGTACAGAAGCCTTTTGACTGTAGGAACTCAGCACCAGTATGCGACGATAAACCTTACCTCTAGAGGACCCACTGAACCATTACCCGCTTCAGATCCACGAGGAAATATGTTTCAGCCGGCAAGGAAGTTATACAGCTTACGAAAGATTTCGCCTAAGTTGGTGAGGAAAAGACTCAGGACTATTGGTTTAAGTGTCAGGACGTTCCCAGACATGGCAAAAGTACATGTGCAGAGAGCGACGCATCCCCAAGTTCACCAGCGGCACTACACGTCCGGAAAGCAGGTGCGTTGGCGGAGCTCGCCAAACACGGCTTAGCAACATACCACCAGCAGAGTGGGCCTGAAACGGTTCACGACCGGAACAGCAGAAGTGACTACAAAACGAACAAATGAACCACTATATTGGGCCATTTAGTCATCCTACCTATTTGCACAGAAGCCCTGTGTTTTGTCCTGACAATACAGCCGTGTCTGGAGTTCTCCGTCTTCTCCTTATCGCGTAGTCGGGCTTAACCAATAGACGGCCATCCACGTTACAACAGTAAGAGCAAAACTTTGGAAAACGATGTTTACCATACTAAAGGTGAAACTTTTAGGAAGGTAAAATAATGACAGGCTAAGTGTTCTACTGATCATATACTACTGAAACCTCAGGGTGATCAAACACCGCCTGTCTGTTGTTCCGAATTATGTGAAATTTCCAAGTGTCATAATTCATAAGCGTCCTTCGTCTTCTTTTGGCTTAGTAGTAGCATGCTAGCTTCTATATCAGATGTCTGTTGTTCAACTCGTGGCATGTTCAATGATGGCAGCGACGAAGAGCCCTAGTAAGAATGAGGCGTAAGTCCGATGCTCCAAGCTAGAGTAATCTTACCAGGATGGGAAGAGAGACCGACGTGTATACGGAAGCCTTTTATGCCAAGGCTTCTATGTCATTCGTAGTATTGAACATCTGCCAAGTAAGATGAACCCTTGGAGAGAAAAAATCACCTCCTATCAGGTTTGAAAAAAAACACGCTGATTTTATGATCCATAGAGGTGATTTTTGGTGTGATATGCCTAAGAAGTGATGTAGAGCTGCTTAATTTTGTATATTGTGAAAGTTGTGTAGTTGAAAAAAGTTGTTGGAAGCTTCCATCTATGGAAATCAAGGTGCTTAAAGTGGTTGCTCATTGGTGGTGGATATTACAGCCTTGAAAAATGGGAAGGTGAGCGTATTATAAGAATAGCCCTTGGATTCCACTGATGGATGCATCACCCATGTGATATCCTGAGGTAGGCCACCTACGTAAGTATTGTTCATTAAGCACTTCGACGCATTTATACATGGCATGGATCCGGACTCCATGTTCAACCTGCTTATTGGTTCACAGCTTAAGCTAAAGTTATTTAAACACCAAATACTCAACCTATTCCCTGACGTACTGTAATACTGCGGAACGATCCGTGTAACATGCGTGACAGACTATCCTGCTGCATAGTGCGAGAAACTGGGTTGCCTGACAGACACATATTCACTGGAAATCTGGGACAGAAGATATAGTGAAACACCTAATCCTTTTCAGCCCTGTAATCCCACATTCCAGAGTCCAAGTTTAGAGTAGGATGTAGCAAGTTTACTACCTAATGGGCTGATAATGGTCTTGCATAGCTAACGGCGTGAACACGTCCAAGGGCGAAGAGTGAAATCAAACACTGATCATCCGTGAAATACACTCCATTGAAAGCAAATTTGGTTTTATTGAGTTTCAACTGAATCCCAGCTCAATCTCTCGTTCACGGTATTCAATGTGATGTGTTATCAAAAGGCTACCTTATATTCCAGTCTCTATATACTCACTCAATCTACTGGCTCAGAACTCACCTGCGTAAGGTCCATTTAGTTACACTATAAAAATGTTTCCATAGGTGATACATCACTGAGAAACGATCGGCTCATTTACATGGCTTTTTAATTACGGTTTGTATTGAATGTCCACTGAATCGCCCTCCCTCTCAGTTTATTGATGGCTTTAAATTTGGAACAGGCAAAAGCGTTTACGGAGACGGTAAGTTTTAATTTGCGATGGAGAAGTGTCGCAAATTTTAAAAAGTGAACGATTAGAATTACTAATGCACTTTTCCTGCAACTATCTACCGATACTACACCAGGCATCCATCTCCATGTTTTACGATGCAGGTTTGATTGGAACTGGGCTTTGAGGAGAAATTAATGCTTACCAACTTTAACCATGAGAAAGCAGATCTACAGTTAACTGGGTAGTGGAACGAATACAACACAGTTTCGCGCCTGATGCAGAATCTCAGTAAACGTCCACTCAGAAAAGTTCAACACTTTTTTCCGTAGCATTCTAGCCAAATAATAAACGCCCTGCACATCATTCATATCCGAACACATATTGATCGCGCGCGGCTCAATCATCGTGCATTCCCACTCCAGAGAGACTCGTGTGTCTCTGACTGCTGATCTAGACAACTTTACGCCAAGAGTTGAATGAGGCTGTTGTCCGACCATTGGCCTGAGTACGTGCCTGTCCCTTACACACAACACATGTCCCTCTATCTATCGTCATTCAAATGAGGCACGAACCAATGTGTGTCTTTGGAGTTGGATAGGCGTGAGGTTTTCAGTCTTTAAGTAGGAAATTCATGGTACCATCAAAACGATATGCGGATTTCTTTCGCTTAAAGAATCGTGTGTGCTTTGGATGAGTGAAGATTAATCGGCGGATTATCGGAGGCTTCGAACAAGTGAAAACATTGCTGTCAGGCTTTTTTCAAATCTGCCATTGCTATTGCATGGATCTAACCATATCTTTAAGTTGTGCTAAAAGTTAAGATAGTAGAAGATGCTCAAGTCTAAAACGAAATAATAACTTTGTGCGTTGTGTATCGGTGAGTAATCTGGTACTTTCTTTTATTCTTTTAATGTATATTTTGAGTATTCCATTTAAGTCTAGAGATTTCTAAACTCCGTTTACTTTGCGTAAACATGGATGCTTATAAAAACTTTAGTACTGATAATCCTCCAGAATAAAGGATTGGAAGAACCGGGTTCTGCGACACTCTGAGTTTGGAGTCATGGGTTTACATAGCTGTATCTGCAATGAGAATGATATACTATTTAGCATTGTCAACTAATATTGTTGTCGAATCCGTCATAGTCTGATAGGATTCTGGATATTCTGTATGAGGAATAACGGATTTCCAACCTTGTTAACTTCGGTTTTGATGATGCATCTTTTGGCTATGTAAAGTAGCAGTGAGTATTCGAAAATACTAGAGTGTAGAAAGAGTGCAAGTGGTCATTTTTAGCAGTACACTGTCTCTGTAGGTAGGATAGGTGCATTATATCGTAGATGATAATAAACTAAGCTTCCCATAGGGGCTCTGGCAAACGTTTATTTAATTGTTGGTCTGTTCGCCGAGCTTGGTAGTTGGATTTCAAACGTTTCATCACCAATCGAGGTGACATCGTCAGTGCAGGGTTGAGTGGTTAACTGACGATGTCACCTCGATTGGTGATGAAACGTTTGAAATCCAACTACCAAGCTCGGCGAACAGACCAACAATTAAATAAACGTTTGCCAGAGCCCCTATGGGAAGCTTATTGAGGGAGGATTTCATTTCTTGGTTATAAAAAGATTCATGTTCTTTGTATGAAGTTTTGGCCTCGATGGAATGGTAATTGGTTTGCTTGTTGTAATAATCCAAAAACGCCTGTACGGATAAATCTTGACAGAGCTTGAGTTCGCTCCAATTGAAGTAGTAGCATAAACGTCAGCTGAGAAGGTTCAGAAAATTCCGTTAATCTTTGACAAGGCCTGGTTCTGTCGGCCCTCCTGGAGAAATTACAATATCAAAGGGCTGACTAGGTGTTAGCAAAAGGATCGCTTTTGTACAGGAATAACTTATGACAACCTCTTTCTGTAATCAGAACCTCTAGTGCACTCATTGTGTCTTGTGAACCAGACAGCAAACGATCTCCAGCCTCAGTTCCGTTATTGGAGTTCCTAGCTTTGCGGTTCAAATCCGTGCAATGGTGGCACGTTCTATTCCATAAAAAAGTTTAGCGAGAGACTGCGGAAAACAGGCCCACTATGCCTAGGTACTTTTTTAAAATCACGTGCAGAAGTTCAGCTTATACTAAAATCCAAGGGAATATGTTGCTTGTAAAACTCTTCAAACAAGCAGCCTGGGCAAAGTATACCCTTAATTCTTTCTTGTTGTTGTACTCTTTGTTCTCAAATCGGTGGTAGTCTTTTGCTACAGGCTTACCTCTATCAATTTATTTGGCGAATCTATAGGTTACTTCGAATGTTTCTGGACCCAGCCGATTTTTTTCAGTTTGGTTTACAACCACTAGATAACTGAAAGATACTCTTTGCTCACAGTTTCCATTGCGTTTGGGTTTAATTCTTAATGGCCCTTTATTCGAAAAAAGTGAGGGTGAACTCTTAGGGTGCAAGGAGCGAACGGTTTTTACTTACAGTATGCTGTTTTTGGTGAAAGAAAGAGTACTCTCGTTGGTGAATTGCCGTTGAATAAGAGTGATAGTGTTCAAGTATTACGAAATTGGGCACATTTTGCAAGGATTTTGGAAAGATGAGGCATTTCTTCACTAGTCGACTGAATGATAATTAGAATGTCGTGGACGAGAGAACCGGCCGAGTTCCTTGTTAATACAACATTATTTTGCAAGTTCTTGTAGTTTGCTTAATGCTTACAGTTCAGCTTTGAGCAAGAAATAAGTTGGATGGTAAATAGGAGACCATGCTTAACTGATGAACCCGGAGAATACCAAGTAAACGTCATGAGCAGTCATAGTTTCATCAACTTGAGGAGTAGTTTTCTTGAAGAAATTATATTGCGGTAGCTCAAGAGTCGAACCAACAGTCAAATGACGTGGTCTTTAGGCGTTTGGTTAAACAATAACATAAGTGAGAGATTCAGTCAAAACTCAGCTAAATCTATTGTTATTATTAACTTAATTCACAGCAACTATATGGCCTTGTCACGAATTTGACTTGTTACGAACATTTTCTTGAGGGGTGTTTTATGTTTCTTGCGTAAAACTGGCCGAATTGCGGCAAACGCTAGCTTCTCAGGTTGAATCGATGCTCTGATCAATGAGCAGAAATTAGCCTACTATAATTTTTCCTGATAATTTTGGCAAAATATGGAGCCTGGAACTTGGAATTAGATTGTTTTCAGCATAAAGTCTGATTGCCTGCATAATGTTTGGAGTGTGGTGAATGCTTACTAAATTGTAGCGCAACCGTGATCGACCAAACAACTATGGGACAAAGATGCTTCCTACGGCGTGGAACAGACCAATCAGATCACTTAGACTACGACGTCTCTGCCTGACCCT